ATGCCCCGCCCGCCCGACCAGACCCGCGCGTTAGGGTCCGCCCGACCCGACCCGACCCGACCCGCCCGTTAGGGCTCTCGCGTGGTACCCTGATTATCCACCACACTTGCGCCCGCACCGATCCGACCCGCCCGCTAGGGTCCGCCCGACCCGACCCGCCCGTTAGGGTCCGCCCGCCCGACCCGACCCGACCCGACCCGACCCGTTTGGGTCCGCCCGCCCGACCCGACCCGACCCGCCCGTTCGGGCCCGCCCGCCCGACCCGATCCGACCCGCCCGTTAGGGTCCGCCCGCCCGACCCGACCCGACCCGCCAATTACGGCCCTCGCGCGTCAGCCAGAGCATGCACCAAACTTGTAATGTCCGGCCCACCCGACCCAACCCGACACGCCCGTCAAGGCTCTCGCGTGCCAGCTCGATGACGCATTACACTTCAATGTCCCGCCCGCTCGACCCGACCCGCATGCACTGTCAGGCATTGGCATTGGCATGCCTTGGCATGCATTGGCATACATTGGCATGCGTTGGCATGCGTGGGCATGCATTGGGGCATTGGAATGCGTTGGCATACCTTACACTGGCACGCATTGGCATGAATTGGCATGAGTTGGCATGCACTGGCATGCACTGGCATGCATTGGCATACATTGGCACGCACTGGCATGCATTGGCATGCATTGGGATGTGTTGGCATGCATTGGCATGCATTGGCATGCTTTGGCATACATTGGCATGCATTGGCATGCATTGGCATGCTTTGGCATGCATTGGCATGCTTTGGCATACATTGGCACGCATTGGCATGCATTGGCATGTGTTTGCATGCATTGGCACGCAATTGCATGCATTGGCATGCACTGGCAGGCATTGGCAGGCATTGGCATGCATTGGGATGTGTTGGCATGCATTGGCATACTTTGGCATGAGCCACAACGCCATTGGCTGCCATCGCTGTGGCAGGAGGGGGCCGAGCCTTCTCCGAGAGACCGGGGGCCTTCGAGGGCCTCGGAGACACCCCCCCCGGAGGCCCGACGCCGCGGCCAGATGCAACATCGTAAAAATCACTCGCGCGGATCCTTCGACCTTGAGCGACCGCGGCGTGGCGATGAGCCCTGGGACTGGGGTGGCCAAAAGGCACCGATGCCGCCACCCCACAAATCTCTCCCGGGATGGTTCTGACCGCCAATTCGAGGAGATCCAGCGGCGGCGGCCAGGAGCTCCCAGGCCGAAGGGGGGAAAACGGGGCAAGGGTAGCGGTATCGGTACTGGAGGCCTGAAATGGGCACCAACAGCAACACAGAGGATTTGCCCCCACCTGGGAGCCTAGGGAGCCCGGGCATTACCACCATCACCGACACCGGACTCGTTTCGCTTTTCCTCATCTGAGCGATGAGCCCGAGAGTGGTTTCGTGAATGCCGCCCAGCTTCGTCGCCGGTGCGGGGAGAGCGGCTGGCGTGGGCGCGAACCGCGCGCTTCGCGCGAGGCCCCGACCTCGTGACCTGGCGGCAGCCCCCTACGCCCCCCCGCAGACTGGTAGCCCTCTGTTG